GGAGCCCTGGACACTGTCAGGCTCCATTCCACCAGCAGAGCTGTCTGCAGAGGATTGTTCAACAGCTTTTTTCCTCTTTTTTATTTCCTCTGACCTAGGCTAATTGCTTCTTTCATCTGCACAGAGATATCCTGACTCCAGAGAACATCAATTAGTGGATTTGTTGATTTTTTTCCTCCCCTCTTCATCATTGAGGAATGTAGCCTAAAGGAGTGGTTCTTCTCTTCTCACCCCATGGGGTGGATCTATTATCAAGTGACCTCAGGACGTGTTAGATCAGCTTATTGATCTGATAGGAAACTAATTATTTGATAGGATTTGTGATTTATTCTCTATCAGATCAGCAAACTGGTGTAATTCACTATGGATTGCAGTATTGGTACAAAGGCAAAAAAAACTAATGTTCAGGGCTGGGGTAAAAAGGAGCCCAGCCTTCAGAAGCAGCTCCCCTGTGACAATGTGTAATATAAAACTGCACCTCCAGCAATGGCCTTTCCTCACATTGAAGGGTTTATATTGTCTCACTAGTTAAACAACATCAAAATGCAAATTGCCAGACTCCATGAAACAACCTCATGCAGTTTGATCCGTGTTGACAGAGCACACAGGATCAATCCTGATGAGCACAGTTGTGCAGAGGGGTTCTGCCTGAAGCTGGGATGGGGCAGCCTGGGGTCTGGGAAGCTGGGGAGCAGTGCCAGGGAAAGGCTCCATGGCAGGCTGGACATGAGCAGCAGGGTCCTGGAGGGACATCCCTGTGCTGGGGACATCAGGGACAGCTGGGAGGGACTGTCCTGCTCTGGGCTGGGTGACACAGAACAAAGCAGGCACTGAGCTGTGAGTGCCCAAAGGAGGGCACTGGAGGGGAAGTGTGGGGAGCAGCTGAGGGCACTGGGTCTGCCCAGCCTGGAGGAGACTGAGGGGGGACCCCACTGCAGCCACAGCATCCTGGAGAGGGGCAGAGGAGGGGCAGGCTCTGTCCCCTCCTCTCGTGGCCAGGAGCCAGGGCAGTGAGCTGACCTCTCACTCGGTGCCAGGTGAAGGTGTTCCACACACAGGGTGCCTGGGCACGGAACAGCCTCCCCAGGGAAGTGCCCATGGCCACAGCCCTGACAGAGCTCAGGAAAGGTTTGGAAGCTGCCTCAGGCAGGTGGTGTGACTGTGCAGGGCCAGGGGCTGTCTCTCATGACCCTGTGGATGTTCAGGGTTTCTCTGACTGCAGTCCACCCCAGCCTCAGAGCCTTTGTTGGACGCTGTGCTCAGGGTCCAGCCCTTTTTACTGGCTCATCATGTTTGGTGTCACCTCAGACCTGTTGGGAGAGGTGTGGATGGAATTCTCTGAGTCTTATTCAATGAATGCTCTTTCAACACTGTTTTTAATTAATCTTATTTAAAGGGATTCATTGTTTTGTGGGCAGGGCTCCTTTGCCCCAGGAATTTTAAGTATTTTGATTACGAATACATTATTGAGCCAAAATTATTTTCTTAAAACATCAATAGTCTTCCTTCTCCCTGAGTACTCCCTGGCCCCGAGGGAGTTGCTAGGAAGGATTCTGTCCTGTGGAGGTGAAAGAGGAAGGGAAGAAGCTTGGGTCAGTATGGGGAAACACAGGGGAAATCTCCATGGAGCTGGGATTTTACTTCATCCCAAGCTCCCAGGGGTGGGGGCCATGCACTGATGGGAGGGCTCTGCCTCACAGGAACATCCTGCTCCACACCCCCTTCCCATCAGTGACAGCAGCAGCAGGTAAATAAAGCCATGCCTGCAGAGAGCAGAGCACAGTGGTCACCACTCCAACAGTCTGTCTTCAACTCTTCAGGGGAAAAAAAAAAAAAAATCATTGGTCAGATGGGAGCATTCTGATGGATTTCTCTGAGCCTTATAAATCACACTGACCAGCTTCACATTTGGAATCATTAGTTCACCTTTACAGTAAAAAAAGAATGATGTGAAAGGCATGATACGTCTTGAATTATGCATGCAGCTTTTATGGTGATAGAAACTCCTTTCAAAGAGAAGTTTTACTCCTGTTAGTGAGAAACCTTTTTTATTTTTTCAAAATGTTGTTCCTGAGTCCCTCCTTTAAGAGCATTCAAGCACTTATCAGAAAATATGTGCCATTACTGAACTCTGCAAAAAACTCCATGTGTGATTTGTTTTGATCAAACTTTTAGACCAACTTTGAAGCAATAAGTTTTAACTGTGGACCCACAGCAGCCTTCAGAAAGAAAACCTGCCAGCACCAACAAATGATGCAGATGTGGTTTCCCTCATACCCTTTATTCCACAAAATGGTAAAATTTTGGGCTCCCAGAAATCAGTGGGAGTTCAGGGTGCCCAGCACCTGGCAGCATGAGCATCTGCAAACACATTTTATTTGATGGCTACTTGACATAAAATACTCGAGTCCCTGTACCAAATGTCCCTGGGTGAAGTAGAACCAAGATCTTCATCACTCCCTGGCTGAGCTTCCCATTCATGAGACCAAGTCATGCCACCACCCTCCAGCCCAAAAATTACATCTGCAAAACAATGTGAGGGGGAGGAGGAGCACCTCCAGTACCCTCATGGAACAGTCTCAGCTTCAGAACAGCTTCGAGCTTGGAGCAAAAGCACTTTCCTGGGAATAGGGTGGCCTGGTTTTGAATCCCTTCATCCTTGAGGCTGAGCATGTTCCCTGCAGTGCTCGTGGTGATGACTCTGCTGCTGTGAGTTATTCACCAACCACTCTTGTAAGGCTTTCCTAGGTGTGGCAAATTTACCCAGCCTCCGTGGCATTTGGGGCAATAATGCCAGGTTTGGGAATATTTCAGGTACCACGGTGCTGGTTTTACCACGATGGCAGCAATTCCAAGCACGAGCTAAGCAGAAAGAGGCTGCAAAGCAAGGGACTGGCTGCCTGAAAAAGCCATTTGGCAAAGCACATGCTGGGACTGGGCAGGATTTATGCACCTAAATTCTACCTAAATACCTAATTTATGGATCTAGGCCAATATAAGTCTGGCTGTGCTGCATGCACTTTTCTGCTAGGGAAAAAAAAAATTGATTCTGCATAGTGGAAGGTATCCACTGCTCTGGGGATGAAGAGCATTTGCTCTGTGCTTTACTTAGGCTGCATGGGGAAATATTAGGACATCACCACCACCACCTCAGGAGGCCAAAATATACAGGATTTCCCCCCTGGCTGTTGCCAGGCAGCTTTCCACAGGGAGAGCCATTACTCACTTTACTCATCATCTAAGGGCTCTTGCTCTTAGGAGAGAAGGGAACTGTTTATAGAATAACTTGTGTTTTCCCCAGAGTACTGCTCCTCTGGTAGTCTATAAATCTCAGGTGCTGTCAGTGCTGAGTGGAAATGAAAGGTATTGCTGGACAGGGAGGAATTCTTATCTTGCATCCAGTTACTTAAAGATAACTCCAGATCTCCTCACATTCGCTGCTCTTCGTGTCTGGAATATTTTGTGTAGGACAACAGGGATTTAAAGTTTTGACCACATGGCGTGATGGGGATCAAACCACAAAACAGCTTCTCTGTCCAATTTTATTTTTCCTAAGGTGTTCAGAATGGGAGAGGGGACAAAGCTGCCTGTGCAAAATACTGTCAGCTGTGAATTACAAATGTTTTGGGGACACAGGAATGCTGTGAGACTTCCCAGCCTTAGTGCTTATTCAGAAAGTGGTTTTGCAAGGCAAGGTTGGCTTAGAAATATCATGGCCACGGCACAGTTTTAGTAATTTACATTTGTCATGTATAACTTAAATCGAAGGGGTGTGTGGCTGTGCATAAACGCACATGCAATCGGATTATCCACGTGAATTAAATATACACACTGGCACGGAGAGTGGATTTTACTGTGGATTTTTGGGAGAGGGGCACAAAGCCCAGACAGCACGGTCCGCACGGAGGAAAGCCCTGCCATGGCTTTATGCTTTGAGTTCTAAGCCTTGACGTAAGAAATTTCACAATCGCCCCAAGCGCAGGGTGTGAGCAGAGCGCCTTCACCACCCGGGCAGGACTCAGAGCGAACTTTGCTTTTCCTTTGTCCCCACACACCCGACCCGGGGCGGCCAGGGACCAGGGACCGGGATGGCAGAGCTCGGGGGGCCGGGAACGACAGGGGTGGGAATGAACGGGGATAGGAACGAGCGGGGATAGGAAGGAGAGGGGATGGGAATGACCGAGAGGGGATGGGAACGAACGGGGATGGGAACGAGAGCGATGGGAACAAACGAGGATGGGAACGAACGAGAGGGGATGGGAACGAGCGGGGATAGGAACAACCGAGAGGGGATGGGAAGGAACGGGGATGGGAAGGAACGAGAGGAGATGGGAAGGAACGAGCGGGGATGGGAATGACCGAGAGGGGATGGGAACGAGCGGGGATGGGAAGGAACGAGCGGGGATGGGAAGGAACAGGGGTGGGAACGAGCGCTCGGCTCGCAGCCGCGCTCTGTCTGTCTGTCTGTCTGTCTGTCCGTCCGTCCCTCCCCCGGCTCACCCAGCGCCTCCGCCCTCCGGATCCCGCCCCCGTTCCCACGGGACGGCCCCGGCCGGCTCCCGGCTCTCCCTCCATCTCTGCGGGTCCCTCCCCGCACTCCGATCCCGCCCCCGGCGCTCCCTCCATCCCTCTCCCGGCGCTCCCTCCATCCTTGCAGGTCCCTCCCCGCACTCTAGATCCCGCCTCCATTCCCGCGGGACAGCCCCGGCCGTCCGTCCATCCCTCTCCCGGCGCTCCCTCCATCCCTCTCCAGGCGCTCCCTCCATCTCTCGGTCCCTCCCCCGCGCCGGGCGGGGCGGGCGCTGCTCCCTCCCATCCCTTCTCCTCCCATCCTTTCTCCTCCCTTCCCTTCTCTCCTCCCCTCTCTCCTCCTCTTTCTCCTCCCCTCCCCAAGGTGTTGGCGGCGGCGGGGACGCGCTCTCTGCTCGTGCCCGTGCTCGTGCCCGCGCCGCCCCCCGGGCGCGCTCCCCTCGGCCGTGCCCGGCTGCGGCGGCTCGGCCATGGCGGAGCTGAGCGCGGAGCGGCTGCGGGCGCTGCCCGGCTCCTGGAGTTACGGCATCAGCCAGGGCGGCCGCGTCTTCTTCATCAAGTGAGCCCGGCCGGGAGGGGAGCGGGGCCGGGCCGGGAGGGGCGTGCGGGGAAGGGAAGGGCAGGGCAGGGCAGGGGGGGAGCAGGGGGCGGCATGGCTGCGCCTGCCTGACTCGGTCCGTGTGTCCGTCCGTTCCCGCAGCGAGGAGGCGAAGAGCACGACCTGGCTGCACCCGCTCACCGGCGAGGCCGTGATCACCGGGCACCGCCGCAGCGCAGGTAAGACCCTGCTCCGAGCCTTGCCCGGAGCCCCCGACCCTGCCCGGAGCCCTGCCCGGAGCCCCCATCCATGCCTGGAACCCCCAGCCCTGCCTGGAGCCCCTGGCTCTGCACGGAGCTTAGCCCCCAGCCCTGCCCGGAGCCTTGCCTAGAGCTCTGCCCGCAGCCCCCGGCTCTGCCCGGAACCTCCAGCTATTCCTGGAGCCCCCACCCCTGCCCGGAGCTCTGCCTAGAGCCCCCACCCCTGCCCGGAGTCATGCCCGGAGCCGTGCCCGGAGCCATGCCCGGAGCCAGTCCCCAGCCTTTCCCGCAGCCCTGCCCGGAGCCCCCCGGCTCTGCCCGGAGCCATGCCCGGAGTCAGTCCCCACCTTTCCCGCAGCCCTGCCCGGAGCCCCCGGCTCTGCCCGGCTCGTTCGCCCCCGCGGAGCCCCCCGGGACGCTCCCGGTCCCCTCCCGGTGCCGCTTTCCCCGCGCTTCTCGCAGTTGTTCCCCCCGGGGTGAGCAGCCGTCCCTGCACGTCCAGCCGTGCTCGTGGAGCGCCTTCTCCCCCCGTCCCCGAGTTGTTGTGCCCGTGTAATGTCTCCGTGCCTGCTCTCCCTCCATCGCCTTGTGTCACCCCCGCCAGGCTGTGTAGTTACCATTAGAGACCGCCTCGTTCCTGCCGTGCTGCTCGCTGGCTGCCCCGCTTATCCACCTGCCCAGCATCCTTCCTCCGTTCAGCACAAAACCACTCACGGTGTTGCCGTTTGCAGCAGCGCCTGCCTGTAACCACCATAGGGGTACTGGAAATGTAGAAGCTGATTTCGTTAGTCACCTAGAAACCCTTTTCCTCCCTGCGCTTCCATCCACGCTGAGAGTCTGTGTGGTTTCCAAGTGACTGAGAGAGGTGGAATAGGTGGGAGGAAAAGGGACTTGGAACATTAGAAATAACTTGCAGGGAGGAGGGTGGAATCGAGTCTTTGCTTCTGCTGTTTGTTCCACTCCGGAGAAGTAGCAGCAGGAGGTGCTGGAGGAGGAGGATTTGCAGCAGACACTCTGGAGACCCGGAGCCAAACTCTTGACTGCTGGAATTGCACACGGGCTGCTTATGCCGCTGGGAGGTGGTGGAGTGTAGTAAAATACGTGCAGTTGTTTTCATGTATGTAAGCACTTGGATAATCACGGGCAAATAATCTGCAAGTGAATTGGTCTGTATCAGATTATTTGCTTTGTATGTTTGGTTAATACTCACGCATTAAGGAATCAGGAGCAGCCTTTTGTAAAACTGTGGGCAGCCTTTCTATTTTTATTTTTTTTGAGTTAGGACTAGTTTAAAAACCCCAGGTTTCTGGCTATTAGAACTCTGCAGGTTGATTTGCAGTGAAGGTTCTGTTGTTTGTAAGAAGTCCTTTAATGCTGGGAAATAGAAGTACTGATTGCTATCAGGCTCCTCTTGCTCCTGCTCTCAGTGCTCAGGTTGAGAAAGTGGCCTTTATCTACAGCAATATGCACGGGGGCAGATGTGTGTGAAGTGCTTTTCTTGTTCAACATTAGCATTAGCTCAGTATTCATTCTTTTTTTAAACTATTCCCACTGTCTCTGTTGGCTGATGATGGTTTCCCAGCAATTTTCCAAGTGTCTCATTTGTTTCTGCTGTTAAGTGCCTTCTGAAGGAAATGCAGTTTGCTTTTGAGTATCTGGAGAATTGTGTGTAACAGAGCAGAGTTATCATCAGGTAAATTAAACTTGTTTATGGGCACAAGACTGAGGCATGACCTCGGATACACTGACCATAATTTATCAATCAGATACCAAAGTGTCTAAAAACCAAATCTGTTCTGTAGTTTTCCTCATTCATGCATATGTTAGTGCATTTCTCCATACACAGATATAATCAAACAGAATTTTGCTGGGGTTTATCTCTTCTTTTGCTCTCACCACTGCTTTGGAACCTCGTCAAAATATGTTCAAAATACATTCTTCTCTTAAGAAACATTTTTTGAGTGAATGGCTCTTCTTTTGCAGGTGTATATTATTGTAAAGCTCTCTGTTAAATAATTCTGTGAGGCATGTTCTAGATGGTGAGGAAAGCTTTGTCCTCCGTTATAAATTGAAGTGCCTTTTATTCTTTGAGCTATTCAGCACTGAAAGGGTATTTTTTGCAAAGTTCTTGTAGCAGCCATAAATACTTCTGCTGGAGACACTTCCTGTTTGCTGCACTTTGGCCTGTGCCATTATCAAAAGACACCTTGATTTTTGTTCTGCAGAGGATGGGGGTGAAGAAAAAAGCAGCCAGAGCAAATGAGTAATAAGAGGGATAAAAACCACCACATTACCCAGACTGATATTTGGTTGTTTTTTTCTTTAGGAATTGCTTTTGTAATTCAATGAGAGAGTGCTCTATAGCCATCATTATTTTTATTGGCAGGGCAGAGTTTTAAGGGTAGTGGTGCATGGAGGTGCCCAACATCTCCAGAGTTTCTGTCACATCAGGAAACTCTTCCTGGAGAAATTTTGACCTTTTTTTTTTTGGTTTTTTCTATCTAGACTCTTAACTCTTAAGAGTGGTAATAGAAAGGAAGAGATGTACCCACATCCTCCACTAGATTTACATGGAAAATGATTTTCCTGTGGAATGCAATAGACCTGTAAACCCTGCAGAAACACTCGTTAGTCACAGCAGTGGTGGAATTCTGGAATTGTGCTGATGCTCTGTGGTGGGGCTGATACTGTGCCTCTCCAGGAGCTTGTCCCTCACTCAGGTGGGTTTTTGTTCACATCCCTGCCTGCCAGGTAACCTGATGCTGCTGCAGCTCAAGGCAGGGAGATGTGGTGATGACCCCGAGTTGCTGGGCAAAGGAAGGAATGTTAAACAAGGGCACACTTAAACCATCCTTGCTATTATTTGACAACGACAAAACCCCAATCAGATTGTCAGGCACGTGGCTTCTCTTGGCTTCCAGAATTCACGTTTAGGCAGCTTTGGGAGTCACTCTCTGTTTCTGGGACTAAAGGTTTGCACAAGTGGAATCAGACACAGCCCTTGACCTGCCTTGCTGGACCAGTAGGGCCAGCATCATTGCAAAAGCTAATTGGAATGTTTTGCTTCTTTTCCAGACTTACCCACGGGTTGGGAGGAAGCATATACTTTTGAAGGTGCAAGATATTATGTGAAGTAAGTGGAACGTTTGTCACAATACCGTGATTTTCAATTAGTTCGTCTGAATTGTCGCTGTAATTTTGAAGGCGTTGCAAACTGAATTTCAATGTTGGGCTAGAAATCCAAAAGGAGCATTTCAATTTGTCCTTTGTTTGCTGAATTCTGCACAGCTAAAACGATTTCTTGACTTTTTGTGTTAATTAAAGGTGTTTGAGGATGCAGTTTCTGCTGTGGATGTAACCATCTAGCAACAAATGTCCTTGCAAGCCAAGAAACACCTTGAATTTGTTTACTTGACATTTGTGTGTGTAGCCTCTTGTGTGCCATAAATGCTTTCACAAAGGCAACATCTTACTTCATCACTGGGAGAAGAGTCTTGATTTCAGCCCTGTTCTCTAATTACATTGTTTAAAGCCATTCTGAAGGTTTAATTTGGCCATTTTCCTTGCAGCCCTTCTACTTCTAGCATTTATTTCCTTTTTTTAAAATTTATTTTCTTGGTACATTTCAGTATGTTTTGAGGAGCACGTTCACTGTGGTAGCCTTGCTGTGTGTATTGTCTTTTTGGATGAGGCACATGAAAATCAGGCTCTGTAGAAGTCCAGAGGGTGGATTGGTTGGATCTGTACAAACTTCTCACAAGTTTTTCCTCTCCAGTTAGTTAGACCATCCTTATCTGGGAAATTTTCAAGTGGCACCTATGTACATTTGGTTAATATTCTTCTTTTCTTTCTATTTAACAATTCACATGTTTTTCTCGATTCATTCAGGAGTTTTTTGCTCACTGTACTGTATGTTTGGGTTGCTGTCTTTAAATTAATAATGTCATTAGTGGGATAACTTTTATGAGTGAAGGTTACAGATAGAGTTTATAGGCTGCAGGTTGGTTTTTTTTTCTGTGTTGTAGTGTTGAGCACAAGGCTGCTGCATTGTAGGCAGTGTGAGGTGGATGTTATATGTGTATTTCATGCTTTATTTTATATGAGTGCGTTTGATTTGGTCCTAAACAAAATTTAAAAACATACTGAAGCACGCTGCCAAAAATCTGAGCAGAATAGGTGCTGTGCCGTCTGGGAGGGCAGATTATTTGTTAGTAAGCAGCATGTTTGTTTTTCTGCTCTGCCTCCTTGCAGTTTCCATTGAGCAGAGTTGTAGCCATTGACAGGAAATCCACGAGACTGAGGCCAGGGATCCATTGAGAATTTCACCTCTGCAGTTCTGTGCATGTTGTTCAATGAAGACGAGTGAGAATTCAAGAAAGCTGTGTTTGAACATTGTGTATGCAATATGAAAAAAAAACATCTTCTAGAGTTTGAGCTGGAGCCTTTTCTTGTAGAATAAACCTGTGTTGGGCAGCTGTAACAGGTGGAAAATAAAGACCTGAGTTTTTTTGGGATAAACAAGGTGTGAAGAGCTGATGTGGAGTGGCTGATGCTCTCCTGCACAGACCTGGCGAGGTTGTTTGTGTGCCCTGCTCCTTCCATGACCTTGTTGTCCCGGTGTTACCGGGGCTGTGAGGATGTCCCTGGAGCCGAGTGTGTGCTGACAGCAGCACTGAACTGCTCCTTTTGCTGCCTTTGGGAACACAAACATTTCTGGGGTTTGATAGATGGTGCGTGGTGCTGCTCAGGGGTTCCCGTGGTCTGACCAGTTTGGCATCCTCAGTTAAGCACTGGTTTGTTGTGTAGAGTGTCTCAGGCTGAATTTGAATTTGAATTTTCCTTTTGAGGCTGTCTCAGGTTCGTGCTGGTGCTGGAGAGGCTGTGGGAGCTCACACAGACAGGGTGACAGCTTTATAATCACTGTCTGCTCATCCTGGGCACTGCAACTCCGCCTGATGGCTTGATTATAATAATTCTGCTTGTCTCAATTTTAACTGCTCTGGGGTTTCTGCATGAGGGACAAACAGCACGGGCTGGTGGGACCTCCTGCTGTACAAACAAAAAAAAATCCAAAAATGGATTTTTAACTTTAACCTGCTGGGTTGTGTGCACCGATTTGCTGAATATTAACGTTTGTTACGTCAGTTGCAGCGTGTTAAAACTGAAAATATTGCAGGCTTGTTTGTGCTTAGGTCTGAAAGAAACAAATTGGTTTATGTTCCATGTGAGTTGCAGAGTCACAAGGGAATTAAGGTTAATGTCATGCTCTTGGTGCTCCAGCCACCAAAACCTGTCTGATTGCTGCTCTGTGTCCAGTCAGAGTTAGGCAAGAAGCACACTCAGCTCTCCTGATCACATAAATAATTGTGACCTAACTTCTGAGGCACAGCTTCAAATATGTGGGTTGAATAGAAATGTTTTAACAACCTTCCTTTATGGCGAGATCTTATGCTAGACTGTGTTTGAAAATAAAAACCTTTTGAAAATTATTCTTCTGGTTCTTTAATAATAGGTCTTCAGTGTTCCAAGTGGGTGTGTTGCTGAATCTATTACTGTGCTTTTTTTGGCTTTGATGTAGTAAACACTGTATAATCAAATTGGGATAATGTCGAGGAGATAATCGTCAGCTGAATCTTTGCATTCCTTGGGCTGGCATTTCAAACAAATGACTCAGTATACAGACTGCACTGAAATGTGATTATTTTTAAAGGACACTGTATTTTTCTTGGGATGTGTGTGCTCGGTTTCAGAATAAGTAAATACCAAAGGGTGACAATTTTACACGGTTTTTTCCCTCTGCCATGGCATTGCATTTGTTCTAGTTTGGAGGTGGAAAGATGCACTGAAACAGGCACAGATAAGGAGTTATTGTCATTTCATACTGTGCTTTTCTCTTGGTGCAGGGTTCTTGTAGTAAGTTGATGCTAGCTAGGACTTTGTCCTTTTTTTGCATGTTATTTTTGGTGGGGTTTATTTTTTCCTGTTGGCAGAATCATTTCCCCACATCCTCCTCACCTCTGGTAAACCCCAATGACAAAAGCTGTCCTTTTTTATTTGGGGGTTAAAAATGTGCAAAGCCTGATACCTTGTGTGTGTTTTGTATTTGTTTTGTTCAGGGTTTTGTCTCTTTCCCAGTGACAAAGTCTGGATTTATGTGCTTTCCATCAGACCTGTGCACAGACAGCTCTTCTCTGGCACTTGGGGGCAGCTCCAGCTGTAAACTTGGCTCAAGTGATGCTTGGTTTGGTATTTATACAACTGAACTTTTCCCCAGAATATGGGGCCCTTGACTGTAGAACTGATACATTCAATTATAACATGTGTTCTTTTCAGTTTAGTATTGAATCTTACTATTCTGAATTAATTATTCTGAAGTAAAACTTCCTGAGGTTTGAAAACTGTGGTGCAGGAAACCTGATTTTTATTTATTTTTTTTTTTTAAGTCCTGCTTAGGGTCCTTCACTGGTTACTTTTGCTGATTATTATGCACCCATGAGTTATGAAAAGTTCAGAGCTTTATCCCCAAAACACATCTAAGCTGGACAGTGGTATGGGGAATTTGAGTTGCTGATTTTATTTTAAGTGCCCAAGGAAAAGAACCCCACAGGATTATCTATTATTATATTTTTTAGCAGAGGATGTACCTGTTCATGGGCCTCACACTCCTCACCTAGCAAGATCATGGAGAATTTCCAGCTTGATGTTTTCAGGACTTTGTGATGATTTAATAATCTTTTAGGCACCGAAGCACTGGGTTTGGGAGCCATAAAATTACATCAATATTTATGCATCTGCATGTCCTTAGGAAACCTTTATCCTTGGTTAGAATAACCCAGTGATCTAAAACTCAGGCATTTGTTTCCTTTTCTTGCATTTTTGGTTCTCATTGCAGTAGTTCTGAATGTATGTTTCAATATTTTTTTTTTTATTTTTTTTTTCTTTTCAAACAAGGGTTATATTATTGAAATTACTAATTTACCAAATAAGGTTGTTCTGAAAATGAATCTGAGGATGGTATTTGTGGAATTTTACATGAATCTACCTAGGCTGGCTTTTACAGAAGTGTTATTAGGTAAGCTGTTGGAAGATGTTCAAGTTTGTTTTTTTTCTTAACTTTGCTATGGGACTGACACTTTTTGGGCAGTACAAAAACTGACTGCAAAAGTCCTTAAAAACTCAAAGAATTGAGAGGGTTGAAGTTTCATTTTTTGGTTTTTCTCCTGAAGTTTACCTTTTTCTGTATTCATCAGAGCAGCTGAATTAAGGCATTGGCAAAGCCCAGGTGAGTTCACTGTTGCATCAAATAAAAGTTTTGTGAGCTTTTATGGAGACTTTTTGTCAGTGCAAGGTTTATTTGTTTATTGGAGACATGCAGCTGGAAAATTGGGAAGGCAAGAAAAAAATTTATGAAGTGATTAAAAGGGATAAGATCTCATTCAGCTCCGAGTTTCTTTTGTTTACCAAAATAAACCTGTGCTCATTGAGAATTCAGCTTTCGTTTGAACCTTTTGTCTTTTATGTGCATTCTAAAGATCCTTTCCCATTCAGCTGAGACTTTCTCCAGAAAAATCAAAGCACAGCCAGTCGTGTTTGCAGAAAAAGCTTTTCTTGAAAGGAAAAATGGAATTTGAGAGAAAAACACGAACAGATCAAAGAGTTTTTGGCCAACACTTAAGAATCGCAGTGTTCCTCCTGGAAATTTAGGGTTGTTTTTTTTTTTTGTTACCTCTAACCTTTATTTTAGTAAAATGAAGAATAAACTTCATTCTTTTTCTTCCATGGTGAGACCTGTAGGTCAAATCGTGGTGTATGGGTGAGCTGAGAGTCAGCTGCAAACTCTGCTGTGCCTTTTGCAGTGAGCACTTCTCTGGGAATTCCTGCACATTCAGTTTCTCTTTCAACATTTGCTTCTTTCTTCCACTGAAATATTTCAGGAACCAAAAAATACCACAAAGCTGGAGCTGGGTGTGGAGGTGGAAGGATTGTGGGTGCAGGGAGAAATTGGGTGTGGGTCAGAGGAGAGGTGGGAGTGCATCCAAAAAAAATGACTTTTTGTGGTGGGATTGCATCCAAAAAATGACTTTTTGTGGTGGTGGGATGTGCAGGGACAGGGCTGTGTGCAGGGGAGGCTTGGCAGGCTGGGAGCAGAGCAAAGCAGGCACAGAGGAGCAGTGCCAAGGCAAGGCAGGAAAAGAGGAGTGGGAGTTTGAATTTTTTTCCTAGGAGCACAATTAATGGGATTGTTCCCAGAGGGAAGGGTGGCAAAAGTTCACCCTGCAAAAAAAAAAAATAAAAAAAAATAAAAACAAGTTGTGTGCAGGTCTGGCAGGACCCATTATCATCCCTGGCTTCAAAGTTAGTCTGGGAGGGGGAATATCAAATTCAAATGTGGATTTTAGGAATTGCTGTGCTCCCCCAGGCTCTCTCTGTGCCTCTGACGTCTGTGGTTGATATTTTGAGCTGTCTCTTTTCCTGAAGTGTGTTTCTAAATTGGGCAATACCTTAAATGCTTCAGTTTCACTGAGAAACACTTGAAAGCATGAGGGAGCTTACTGACTTTTAAGTTTTTTTTTTTAAATCGACTTGTAGGGATTAATGAATAATTATTTAAAAATACAAAAATACCTCTACATGAGTAGTTACATGAAATATTGAAGCCCATGAGAAAAATATTGAAGACACCCACACTTTTTTTGATATTTGTTAACAAATTAGTAAACTGGTCTCTAGCTTTAGATCCTTGTTTTTGAAGTGGAAAGAGCTTTTCCTTAGTTTTGGTCTTTTTGGGTGATGAAAT